TTCGAATAGATGTTATCCTGGTTATCGGTGAATATGTGTCGAAGAAGTCAAACCCTTTGGTTTGTCTGTAGCCTTTTACTACGAGACAGACTTTGTATTTGTCAATAGACCCATCAGCCTTGAGTTTCTTTTTCAAAACTCATTTACACCCTAGTGGTTTGCAACCTTCGGGTAGGTCAGATAACACCCAAGTGTTATTGTGCATTATAGAGTCTATTTCACTATCTATTGCTTCATTCCAAAAAGGAGCATCAGGACTGGATAGTGCTTCCTTAATCGTTGTTGAATCATTGTCTAACATATACGTAACAAAATTCGGACCAAAGGTTTTCTCGACCATTGTCCTTTTGCAACGCCTAGGCTCTGAAGCCTCTTGATCAGGGCTATTAGTCATTTGTCTTTTTACACCCCATAGTTCTTCATCTACGGATTTTGGACTTGACTGTATCCATTCCTTACAAGGGTAGATATTTTCAAAGAATGTGGTATTCCTTGATTCTATCGTAGTTCCCTCGGTCATCCCAGGGATTTTCCATTTGTGAACTATGAAACGATAGGCACTACTGTTTAGTGCGTATCCGATAAATATGCAGTCTACCGTTTTTGGGCCGATAACGACTTGCTTTGGAAGCGGAACTTCCACTTTTGCTAGGCACCCCCACACTTTGAAGTATTTGTATGTGGGTTTCTTGTCTTTCCATAGTTCGTAAGGGGTGGCATCTTTACCAGTAAGTGGAATCTTGTTCAGGATATAATTTGCAGTTAGTACCGCCTCCCCCCACAGGTTTTGGGGAAGTCCTGAACTTATCAGCAAGGCATTCATCATTTCCTTAAGTGTTTGATTTTTGCGTTCTGCAACGCCATTCGATTGAGGTGAATATGGAGCCGTTGTCCGATGAATTATGCCACTTTCATTACATAATTCTTCGAACGGGTCAACATATTCGCCACCTCTATCACTTTGAACTGTCTTGATTTTACAGTCAAGTTGATTTTTTGCCTCGATTTTGAAGTTCTTGAAGGCCTCGATTGCTTCGCTCTTTTCCCTTAATAGGTAAAGATAGAAATACTTTGTGCAGTCATCGATAAAGGTGATGAAATATTTCTTTCCACCTCTAGTTTGCACAAATTTTAAATCACATACATCAGTGTGAATTAACTCTAATGGCTTAGTCTTCCTTTCGACAGACGGGAAAAGTAATTTTGCCATTTTGGCCTCCACGCAAACTTCACATTTGTTTTTAGTGTTCACATTTTTTATATATAGTAAATTCATATTTACTAATCTTTTTATAGAATTTAGGTTTACATGTCCTAGTCTGCAATGCCATAAATCAGAACACTCAATCAAGTACGAAGAAGAAACAACAATTTAATTATCAGTAGGTGGTGCTCGGTGCACGGCCATTACATTCAATTTGAACAAACCATTTGTAAGATAACCCCTAGTTAGGAACATCTTATTTTTCGATAGTATAAATTTATCTGCTACAAAGACAAGTTTAACGAGATTTTTCCGAATTTCTGACACATGTAGGACATCTTTCAGGGTTAATTCTTTGCCAGAGGTCATCTTTAGCACCACATTCCCTACGCCTTGGACCTCAGAAGGTGCATGATTTCCCATGTGCAGTTTCCTCCCTTTGGTCTCCTTGTTGGTCGAGAAGTTTGTTTTGTCGGAGCAAACATGGCAGGTTGCTCCGGTGTCAATATACCAAGTTCTCGGACTATCCACATTATTTGTTTTGTATACAACAAAGACAAGGTCGTCACTATTGAGATCACGATCAGTCCAGTGGCTCGTCTCGACCAGATGGGAACTTGGCTTCTTCAAGCCCCACTTGCTTTAGCTCATGCTTTAGCCCGTGCTTGAAGTTGCTCCAACTCGGGGGCAATTTCTCGATCATCACACTCGTGATGAACTTTTATGGCAGTGACATCTCCTCGTCGACAACAGAGTGAATAATTTGTTGAAATTCTTCCACTTGTTCGACAACAGACTTGCCATCTACCATCTTATAGTCCATAAACTGGATCTCAACAAGCATTTTAGATCCGGCATTCTCGGACTTATATTTTTTTCTCAAGGGCATCTCACAACCCTTTCGCACTCTTTATTTTGCAATATACATTATTAAGAGAGTTAGAGAGACTACTTAATATAGCATTTCTAGTCATGTAATCTCTGTGTGCCCACGATGCATAATTCGCATGCGTCTGCTGATTTGCACCGGGCTCTGGGGTGATTGGGCCATCGTGCAACACGAACATGACAAACCCAATCGCAGTCAGGTAGAAGAGCATCTTCTCCTGCCACTTCTTAAAGTCCACTCCCGTGAATGGTTGTGGAGCTTGTACATGGGGCATCATCTGTGGGCCAAGCCCAGGACCAACAGTTTAGGCCGTGAATGAAGCAGAGGGTGCGCGGCCACAAACCCAGGAAATCCCCCATATCCCCCAGAGGCAAATCCAGAAAGCAAAGGGTTGCCCGTAAAGGGAACTGGCCCAAGTGAAGCAGCGACTATCTTGTTTGCGGTTCCGGTGACTCCTCCAACGGTTCCTCCGACGGCGGCTCCGGCGATTCCTCCGGCGGCGGCTCCGGTGGAGATTCCGGCGACTCCTCCGGTGACTTTTCCGGAGACATCTCTGGTTGCGGCTCCGGCGACTTCTCCGGCGACAGCTTCGGCGGCGGTTCCGGAAATGGCTCCGACGACTTCTCCGGCGGTGGCTCCGGCAGGGGTTGACATTCTCGCAAAGTTGTATCTAATTTTCGATTGTTGGAAAGTATGGGTATTGCGAGAATAAATGTGAAACCGAGTCGAGGATGGATCATCTTTCCGAAAATTAGATACGCCTCGGTAGTGCCTCCGGTAGATGACGTTCTAACCCAAAGATAAAACAGTTTTCGTCTTCAATGAGAGTGACACCTCTAATCGTTGGAGCTCCGGCGAACAAAAACGAGAGAGAAACTAAGCTGGGGAGGCTGCGGGAAAGCTAGAAGAAATGAGAGTAGGACGAGAGGATTATTTGTTGTTGGTGATTAGAATAAAGGGGGAGGCCCTTTATACAGGCGTCTCCACTCGGCCAAAATGGCAGGGGATTAATTGCGATCATAATTACGACATTAATTATCGATGTATTTAATTATAAATTCAAACATTCCGTTTGAAGCGGTCGTAATTGATTCTAATTACAAACCTTCCGTTTGTGACGATCGTAATAATTCTAATTTCAAACATTCCGTTTGAAACGATTGTAATTTATTCTAATTTCAAACATTCCGTTTGAGATTATAATAAATTGTTCAACGGATAATATTTTATCCAAATAATATTGCGACTTAGGCCATATACTCGGGTTTAATTTGGGGTTGCACAATTTGTTTTATCTCGAGACAGACAAAATAGCCAAAATATTAACCAAACCCCATACAAAATAAATAAATAATAAATATTTCTTCCAAATTAATTATATTAATTTGATATACCGGCCGTCAGATTTTCACTCACAAAATAATCGATTGAAAAATAACCGATTATCTAACATTAAATTAATGCGTTGCTTATTTGTTTGTTTACAAGGTTGTTTGTTTGTTTTAAATTTGAATACTATTCATTATGTTTTTAAAAGAAATTATATTAAATATTCAATTTTTATCATTTTTAAAATTTAATATTAAAAGTAGTATCATAAATTTAAATTTAGTGACAATTAAAAGTGATAAATTATAATTTAATGACAATGTCATATCATTAATTTTGCTAGCTCTTTAGATAGGATTTGTTCTTCCAATTAATTTTATCCACATAAATTTTCATGTATATAATATACATTCAATTCTTTAACATTTAATATAAATATATTATTTTTTATTTATTAATACAATTTTTTGTATGAAAAAATTAAACTGAAACATTAGTGTATTTATTTTGTGAGATTATTGAAACTAAATTATTTAATTGTATATTATATAAAAATTGTGTAAAAATATAAAAATAATGAATATATAAAATGTATTAATTTCTTTTGAAAAAACTTGTAGAAAAGAGTATTGAAAGAATAGCCCTTAGACACCCATAATATTTACAAAAAAAAATAAAAAATTTGTTGATGAATATTTGGGTTTATTCTTTTATTATTTTAAATTAAAATTAATATTGTTACATAATTTTCAATAAAAATATATTATTTTTTAATTTATTACAAAATTTCAAAATATATTGTAATTTTCAATAAAATAAAAAACAAAAATATCAAAACCTCAAAATATCATTTAAAATAAGATTAATAAAATATTATTATTTTTAAATTTATTCATTTGGAATGAACAAACGTAGTATGATTAAATGTGTGGAAGTAGATTTATGGATGCTGAGTGATAAGTTCAAATCTTAATGCCTCTTGTATTAAAAAAAAATTTATTGAATGAATAAATCCATTATTATTTTTTAATATTCTCTCGTTCTCATAATTATATATCCATTTATTTTTTATATAGAATTTTAGAAATATTAATATTATATTAAAATAAAAACAGAAATAAAAGTAAAAATATTAAATTAATTTTATTAATATTATATAATATAAATGTAATAATATTTGTGTAATATATTATAAATTCGAAGAATATTTATAAAGTTAGATAGATAATATAATTATAAAAAAAAAAAATACTTTGCTATTTGACATATCAAAATAAAAAAGTAAAATAGATTAGCGAGGCAATTTTAAAAACAAATATATACGTGTAAATCAAAGGGAGGTAGTATTTATTATGCTATCATTATTAGAAAGCTATTTGTGGCCTTATTTTGAAAGTAAATCCTGGAGGGATATGGTGCGCCATGTTTGGGTATCAAATACAATATCACGGCCGAAACGCAAAAATGGCCGGAAGCTTTCAGCACAAAATTCCGTCGCCCCAAACGCGGCCTTCCCGTCCAAACACCAAACAAAAGAAATTGAAATGAAAAAACCATAAATTTGATGAAAACTTCATACGAAAACAGAGATCCTAATTTAATCACCATTAACAACAAATATCGATTAATGAACGGATGGGAAACACTTTGCGTGAATTCGCCTCCCCACGAGACGTCACAGTCTGCTGCGCAGTGCGCAGCCCTACAAATCGCACTGCCTCAAAGCTCCATTGTCGTCATCCATCGCTTGTCCCTGTCCTCTTTCCCAACCGCCTCAATTACAGCGGATTTAATATAGCAGTCGAGGTGGATGACTCGTCGCTCGCCTACTCCCATAATCAATTGCTGAAGCTCTAAGAGAAAACCGGAGAGAGGACTGAAATCAGATTAGGGCGCTTCTTCTGCTGTATGTTAATTGTTAATTTCTGACCTTGTTTAGTCAGAGTAGTTTAATATATTTGTATATGGTCATCTTTACGCAGCTGTGATTGTTTCTGTCAGCTACAGTGTTAGTCAGAATTACTCTATTATAAAATTGCACTTACATGTGTTTATATATATGTATGTATGTGTATATCTGTGTATGTGTTGTAATCGATATGGTGCATTGGTGCCCACTTTGTCTTCACTCTGCATCCTACTCTTGTTATTTTCGTTGTTGATTTGCGAGTTTTCTCTCCCCTGATTTGATTTCTGCATTTTCTTAATTTTCGTGTTCTTCGTCTAAATACAAATTGGTATTGATCTATGTGCAAACTGGAAATGAGTTCTTTCAGTAACTTGCTGCAGATTTCGGCAGATAATTGATTCAATCCTTTGATGATATTGACAAATCCAGTAATGGATATTGAAGGCCGGAATCCCAATTTCCCTCTAAAGGTAATCCAATCCCCACCTACTCATCCAAAAAGCTGTTTTAGATAATAAAATTATGTTTAAACTCATCTGTTCTCTGTGGATCCAATTTTGGTTCCAGAAGGAATCGTGGTGGACGGTGCTGTCCCTTGCTTACCAGAGCTTGGGCGTCGTGTACGGCGATTTAAGTACGTCGCCTCTGTACGTGTACACGAGCACTTTCGCGGAGGACATTCAGCATTCCGAAACGAATGAGGAAATCTTCGGAGTTCTGTCGTTCGTTTTCTGGACACTTACCATGATACCTCTTGTCAAGTATGTGTTCATCGTGCTTAGAGCCGACGACAATGGCGAGGGGGGCACTTTCGCCCTCTACTCGCTGCTCTGCCGACACGCCCGTGTCAGTACGCTGCCTAACGGCCAGCTAGCCGACGAGGACTTGTACGAGTACAACAAGGAGGTGATTGCTTCGTCGGGGAGCAAGGGCCTTGGAATGAGGCTGAGATTAGTTCTGGAAAAGCACAAGGTGCTGCAGAGGATATTGCTCACCTTGGCGTTGATCGGGACTTGTATGGTGATCGGAGATGGAGTCCTTACCCCTGCCATTTCAGGTGGGTATTGGTAAATTGCAAATTAGTCCATGAAGAATTCGAAATGCTCAGAAAGATCCCTTGGTGTTATTTTAATCATCTTGCAAAATTTCCTGGACTGAGTTGCATGCATTTTATACTTTTCTTTTGATCTTGGTATGGAGGGTGGAATGAAAGCTGAGAGAGATGTTTGTGTTTGTATGCAGTGTTTTCTGCGGTGTCGGGATTGGAGTTTGTTGTCTCGAAGCATCATCATGAATGTAAGCCTCCCGCCTTTTCAATTTTCTTGATCGTTATTCTCCTTTTGGCATTAGAATCTTTTATGTTAAGAGATGTGGATAAGATCAATTCTGCACATAGTACTCTAGATTTATGTGATCCCGAATAATGGAATTCAGTAGAACTACAACATTTACTAAGAGTCGATGTTTCCATTGTAAGATGTTTGTCTTTAAATTGCTGAGGCATATATGCTTGGTTTCTAGTTGTCATATCATATCGTTTGTGGAATATTTATTCCCCATACCATACGAACACCCTTTGCTCCAATGAGTTGTGTCCTAGTAAAATATTCGCATCAAACACGGGGTGTTTTCTCATCACAAGTGACACGATTGTGTAGGTGGCCTAATTTGGCCAAATCTTGAGAATACCTAACAAAAATACACCAAAAGATTTAATTATGACTCGAATGTTTCTTTCCACGCTTTTGTAATCAACTAATGGAGTCTTGAACAACAAGAGTTAGAGAAGGATTACGCAGACTATGGTTTTAGTGAAACCCACGATAAGGTTTGGCATTGTAGGTTTATCTAGTGATATAAACTTTAAAGTATCTATTGCCTAATGGGAGGTCAGGGTTCAATCTCTATTATTGCATGCGTGTGCGATTTGTGTATAATTTTATAGAATAAAATGCTTGTTTTTTAGTATGAGATTCTTGGCATTCTATTCCAGTTTTCTTGTGGATGTATGTGTTCTATGTACAATGAAGGCTCAGGCTCACCTAATTGTAATAAAATGCATGATTGTGGGGCCTTTCTTCTAAGACAAACTTTTCGGCTTTAAAAAAAGGTTGAATTTCCATTATCTAAATGAGTTAGGTTGCTGTCTTTCAGGATTTGTGGTAGGCCACACTTTTGTCATCACTTCATGCCTATGCAATAATATATTTTTACAGATAAACATTATACTTTGTCCCAAAGTGGTTCACACATAAGCCATGGGACGTTGAATGATTTTGTAATGAAGTATGTGGTTTTCTAGTTGGACTGAATATCTTCGAATCGAATATTGTTACAGATTTTGTTGCCTCTTTCATAATAGATACTTGAAGTTGTTGATAACTGTTGAAAGATCAAACCATGTTTATTCCAAAGTTTGAACACCGTGCTGATTTGTGTGGTAATCTTGGTGCCTGATTGTTGATTTCTGCAGATATAGAAGTCCCTGTTGCCTGTGTAATACTGGTGCTCCTATTTTATTTGCAGCATTACGGGACCCACCGGATCGGGTTTCTTTTTGCGCCCATAGTGGTGGCATGGCTGTTCTGCATCAGTGCCATTGGACTCTACAACATCATCCATTGGAATCCTCATGTCTATCAGGCGCTATCTCCTTATTACATGTTTAAATTCTTGAAGAAGACGCAGCGTCGAGGCTGGATGTCCCTTGGTGGTATATTGTTGTGCATAACTGGTACAAGAACTTGTATTCTTCCTGATGAAATTCTTTCCTAATCCCTAGATCTTTATTGTCATAAGTATCCTTAAATGTGTTTATATGTTCAGGCTCGGAGGCCATGTTCGCCGATCTTGGGCACTTCTCACAGCTATCCATCAAGGTAAATGAAACATTACGTCTTTTTCATGAAGTTTTGAATTTCTAGCACTACTATTGAGAACGCATGGGGATTTCAAATCTGCAATTTAAGGCTCCAATATAACAATTTAAAGATTCAGCAGTCACACATGGGCACATTTCATTAGTTTCGACAATATAAAGAAGTCGTGATACATAAATTGTACTGAACTTGTAAGTTAGATGGAGACTAGGATATAAAATCAATGTCCGGAGTGACTGAATTGAAATATGAGTTTCTATCGACCTACTGCCATGGAGTAACTGATATCTGTCTTGTGCAGATTGCTTTTACCTTCGTTGTCTATCCTTCCTTAATCCTTGCTTACATGGGACAAGCTGCATATCTTTCCAAGCATCACATAATCGACAGCGGCTACCATATTGGATTCTATGTCTCGGTGCCTGGTAATGGAACTTTTATTTGAGAAAAAGGTTCATTCATGTTGAAGTTTTCAGAATTTAGCTGTTGGTTTTTTACACCTCGACTGCATTTTTCAGACAAGCTACGATGGCCGGTTCTTGCAATTGCCATCCTTGCCGCAGTGGTTGGAAGCCAAGCCATCATAACCGGGACTTTCTCCATCATCAAGCAATGTTGCGCTCTGGGCTGCTTTCCTCGGGTCAAAATAATACACACGTCTTCTGAAACGAGCGGCAGGATCTACATCCCCGAGATCAACTGGACCCTAATGCTGCTTTGTTTGGCTGTTACAATCGGCTTTCGCAACACCAAACACATTAGCAATGCATCCGGTACGAGATCTCTTGCCTCTAAGCTTATGCATCGTCTTCGACCTGCTATTACAATAAAAAGAATTATATCGAATGAAACTACGACAATCATTGGTTCGTTTCGCGCAGGTCTTGCAGTCATAACCGTTATGTTGGTGACGACATGGCTCATGTCGCTCGTCATCGTCCTATGCTGGAACCGGAGCGTTGTTCTCGCCGTTTGCTTCCTATTCTTCTTCGGGTCGATCGAAGCTCTCTACTTCTCAGCTTCCCTCATCAAATTCCTCGAGGGCGCCTGGGTCCCCGTCGCCCTATCCTTCATCTTCCTCCTCATAATGTTCGTGTGGCACTACGGTACTCTCAAGAAGTACGAGTTCGACGTGCAGAACAAAGTCTCCCTCAACTGGCTCCTCAGCCTCGGCACGAACCTCGGGATCGTCCGTGTCCGCGGTATCGGCCTGATCCACACCGAGCTCGTCTCCGGCATCCCAGCCGTGCTCTCCCACTTCATAACCAACCTCCCGGCATTCCATCAAGTCCTCGTCCTCTTCTGCATCAAGTATGTCCCCGTCCCCCACGTCCGGCCCGACGAAAGATTCCTCGTCGGGAGGATCGGTCCAAAGGAGTACCGTGTGTACCGCTGCATAGCCCGGTACGGATACCGCGACGCTGTGCTCGACGACATTCAGTTCGAGAAAGAGCTCGTCTGCAGCATCGCCGAATTCATCCGGTCGGAGGGCTCCCGGCGCAGCAGCAGCTCGGACAGCAACGAGAAGATGGCCGTCATCGGAACGCACGGCGGCGGCGGAATCATGACGGCGGCGGAGGCGGTGGCGCCGAGGAAGAGAGTGAGGTTCTTGGTGGCGGAAGGGGAGGAGGAGGGGCAGGATCTGCTGAGGGAAAAGAGGGAGGAGCTGCAGGAACTGATGGAGGCGAGGGAAGCTGGGATGGCGTTTGTGTTGGGGCATTGCTACGTGAAGGCAAAAGCGGGTTCGGGTTTTATAAAGAAAGTCGTGATTAATGTAGGATACGACTTTCTCAGGAGGAACTCACGTGCGCCGCAGACGTACGCCTACAGCTTCCCGATGGCGTCCACTTTGGAAGTGGGAATGGTGTACCATGTTTGAAATTAAAAGAGTCGCGTTTTTATTTTTGTAGCTAAAAGCGTGTTTTTGCTGTGTGGATTATCGATGTATATGTATATTTGGCTTCACGACTATTTATGTGTAAAGTAAGAGAGATGCTGCCTCACCTAAACCATGCACATTTGCTATGTATATTATTTAAACGAAATAACAATGGTTTCTGTTAAAACAGAAGTTTTAAAGGATTTGAATTTTATATAAGTTTACAAATAATAAAATTAATATTTGCGATCATATTTTGTGAAAAGATATATAGTGTTATATAAATAATAATATATAATGGTAAGTATAATATATATGTACGAAGGTGTTTCCAAGTGTGTTAATGTATATATGTTGATATATTATGTATGTTTATATATGTGTGTCATGATGTGATTGGTATAGGATAGAGAGAGATAAATGATATAAATGCATTTTTGAGTGTCAAATTTAATGAATACATCTCTTATATTTTTATAGGCGGTGAATCCACATCACTTATGCGTAGTAGATATGTGTACTCTACGTGTATACTTTGTAATACTTCTCATTGGATGCTTTTATATAAAGAATGTGTTTCGTTAAAATATTATTATGAAAAAACCATGTGGGAAGAAAAAAGAGTACAACAACATTCTTATATTAATACGCTCTCCTATTTTGGATTTTATTTGATATCTTTTAGTCGACGCATTCCAATTCTTTGTATCAATTTGTTGAATGTTGTAGTGTGTAGCGCATTTGTAGATAAATTTGCAATATTTTCAAACGATCAAATTTGTTGCACACTAATTTCACCATTTTTCTGAAGATCATGAGTGATAAAGAACTTTGGAGATATGTGCTTTGTCTGATCGCCTTTAATATATCCCCTTTTAACTGAGCTATACAAACTGCATTATCTTTAAACAATATTATATGAGGTAATATATCATCAGAAATCAAGCCACAATTTTTCTGAATATGGTAAGTCATAGACCTCAACCAAACGCATTCACGACTGACTTCATGAATTCCTAAAACCTCAGCATGGTTTGAAGAGGTAGTTGTTATCGTCAGTTTAGCAAATCTCCAAAAGATTGCGATTCCACCGCAAGTAAATAAATAACCAGTTTGAGATTTTGCTTTGTGTGGATCAGAAAGATAACCAATTAATTCATTTTAAGATTCACTCAAATAAAATAGATCGAGGTCATGAGTCACCTGAAGATAACGAAAAATGTACTTGATACTATTCCAATGACGCTTTATGGGGGATGCGCTAAACCTGACCAGTAAATTTACTGAAAAAGATATATTTGGCCTGGTACAATTTGCAAGGTACATTAATGCGTCAATAGCGCTGAGATATGGTACCTTGGGGCCAAGTATTTCTTCATTTTCTTCTATTGGCCTAAATGGATCTTTATCAGGATCAAGGAATCTGACCATCATTGGTGTACTCAAAGAGTGAGATTTATCCATATAAAATTGTTTTAATACATTTTGGGTATATGTGGATTGATGGATAAAAAGTCCATTGTTAACATGATCCACTTGTAATCCTAGACAATATTTTGTCTTTCCAAAATCTTTGATCTCAAATTCTTTCTTTAGATATTCAACTGCAATTTGGACTTTTTCAGGAGTTTCAGTTAAATTGAGATCATTAGCCTATATTGCAATAATGACAAAATTTGATCCATTTTTCTTTAGAAAGACGCATGGACATATTGGATAATTAGTATAACATTCTCTTATTAAACAATCACTGAGACGGTTATACCACATTCGCCCTGATTGTTTAAATCCAAACAATGACTTTTTCAATTTGATGGAATATGATTCTCTTGAGTTTAATTTGTATGTTTCACGCATGTTGAATCCCTAAGGAATTTTCATATAAATATCAGTATCCAAGAAGCCATAAAGATATGCAGTAACTACGTCTAAAAGACGTATATCGAACTTTTCTCGCACTGCTAGGCTCACAAGATATCTAAATGTTATTTCATCAACAACCGGAGAGTATGTTTCATCAAAATCTACTCCAGGGCTTTGTGAGAATCCATGAGTTACGAGACGGGCTTTATATCTCACAATTTCATTAAGCTCATTTCTTTTTCGTACAAACACTCATTTTTATCCAACTGGTTTTATACCATCTGGTGTTTGAACAATTGGTTCGAATACTTCTCTTTTGTTTAATGAGTCAAGCTCTTATTGAATCGCATTTTTCCATTTTAGCTAGTCATTTTTTTGCCGACATTCATGAACCGATTTTGGCTCTGGATCATCGTTTTTTTCCATTATATCAAGTGCCAAACTGTATACTGAGGCATTATCAATGATTGTCTTTTTATGGTTCCAACATTTTCTTGAAGTAACATAGTTAATTGAGTTTTCAATAATCTCATCATGTTCTTCAAGATCATGCTTTTCTGGAGCAATTATTTCAGGGTTGACTTGCCTATTACGTTGAGGTTTATCAATGTCATTCCTGATATTTTCATCATTATCATTATTCATTCCTCTTTTCTTTTGAGGATGTTTGTCTTTGGAACCGAGTGGTCTACCACGCTTTAAGTGTGTCGTTGATTCATTAGCACTTGCAATTTGTCCATCAGGGACAATTATTTTAGCCGGAGCATTAGCAGTTTGGATATATGATCGAGTGACTTTGCTCGAGTCATTGAAAGCATCCGGTAACTAATTTGCAATATTTTGCATATGTATAATGCGTTGAAATTCTAGTTCACACTTCTTTGTACGAGGATCACAAAAATTCAATGAGATTTTCCAATTAATCTCCATTTTCGGTTCATTTCTGTCTCCCCCTAATGTCGGAAAAAATATGATTCATCAATATGACAATCTGCAAATCTTGCAAGATATTTTATAATTGACGGCGATTCATATCCTACATAAATGTCCAATCTATGTTGAAGGTCCATTTTTGTATATTTAGGGGGTGGAATAAGAACATAAACAACACACAAAAAAAATACTTAGATGAGATATATTTGGTTCTTGACCAAATACTAACTGCATTGGTGAATAACTATGATAGCTTGTCGGCCTCATTCTTATAAGTGATCCTACATGTAAGATTGCATGCCTCTTAGTTGACATGGCCTGACCGTGTATAATTATAACTAATGTAATTTTTTTACCCATAATCAATAAAACAAATGGATTAAGAATATGTATAAAAGAAAAAAGAAGGAAGAAGAAAAGATAGTGTTGAGAATGAGAATTAGTATGTATGATAACCAACCACGAAAATAAGTCTCGGCCTTGAAATCAATCCATAGGCTAAAACACAAACAATAGGTTAAATCTCACCGCAAAGGATTGGTAGCCACAAACCGATGGAATCACTCCAAAGACCCGATTTGACATATCTAAGTGGGAGGAAATCACATTCTAGCACTAGAAAAATATTGAGAGAGAACAATAATTTTTCTTTTTATTCAAGATTCACTCTACTGTATTACAATGATAGGCAAGGACCTTATATAGAGGTAATTGAGAAAAATAAAAAGACAACAAATAATAAAGGAAACAAACCAAAACGTAAGTCTAACTGTAAGGAAACAATTATTAAGGATAGTTTTAGATATGGAATTATACTATATAGAAACTTATAATAAAATATAATATAATATATAATAAGGTAACTTTGAGATTCTTCTATAATCCGTTGTCTTAGTCTTGAAGTCCCAGTTCTTCTGATCCTAGCTTTGGGATGACTTAGCTGGGTGACCTTTCTGTCGAATAAAAAAGAATTATAATGTGTAGCAAGTCCATTTTCAATAATATTTTTTTTTTCTTAACTTGGACGGCCGCATCACAAGTTGAAACGGATAACATAGACCTCATTAGTAATGGTCTATAAATCAATTGCAATCTTTTAATAAGTGATTCTTCCAGACCATTTGTGTATGAACATGAGCAACTAGGTGCTCTACATTAATTCCAATCGACATGCAGTAATCATCAAATGCATTTGATGTATATTCATCAGCATTATCAAGGCGTATAGTCTTAATTAGATTATCGGGGAACTGTACTCGTAATTTCATAATTTGGGCAAGCAATTTTGTGAATGGCGTATTGCGAGTAGATAATAAACAGACATGTGACCATCTGGTAGATGCATCAATAAGCATCATAAAATATTTAAATGGCCCACACGGTGGGTTTATTGGTCCACATATATCCCCGTGTATTCTTTCAAAAAATGTAGGTGATTCAATACCTACTTTAGTTGGCGATGGCCTGGTTATCAATTTTCCCTAAGTGCATGCAACATAGGTTAAATCATTTGAGTTTAACACTTTTTGACCTTTTAATGAATGACCATGCAAATTTTCAATTATTCGCCTCATCATTATACTGCAAGGATGCTCAATGCGATCATGCCATATTTGAAAATTGGTAGTCTTTTGATCTATCGTGAGGTGTGTTTCAACAACACCTAATATGACATAATATAAACCAGTAGAGAGTGGGGATAATCTCTTAATGATGCATTTCTTTTTTATGAATGATATTGGTGATCAATAAAAATTCACCATCGGTATCACTCATAGTTTCAATGTGATAACCATTTTTCCGAATGTTATGAAAGCTCAGTAAATTTTTTTCGAGCTTTAGTGGCCAACAATGCATACTGTATCACAATTTTCGTCCCTGCAGGGAGAAATATAATGGCTTCTCAAGAGCCTTTAATTAATTTTGCACTACCACTTATTGTATTGATATCCATTCTTTCCTTTTTCAACTGAGCGAAATATTTTTCGTGTTTCAATATAGTATGTGTCGTTGCACTGTTAATGAAACACATATTTGCATCATTTTTATTGGCATCCATTTAACCTTCAAATAAAAATAAACACAGTATTAATAAAGGCATATATAAGTATTACAAAATGCATTACAGAAAAGTAGTATGCGATTATTTAAATATTACAAAATATAAAATATGTAAAATGACATAATATGTCTGTCACTGGGGGTTTGCTGGATCTACGACAAAATTCGCTATATTAAGATGCGTTGTGTTGTAATTTAGAAGATCATCATCGGGGTCGTCATCGTTATCAACATGATTAGTCTCGATCTTTTTTCCTTTTTTTTTGCAGTGAGACTTGATAAAGATTGGCTAAGTGTTTGGCTGTTCTGCAGGTATTGCCCAATGGCCTTAAATGCTGCACCAATTATAAATGCCGATTTGTCTCTTTCCCTGTTTAACCGCTTCGGATATATCTCATATTGGGGTTTGC